ATAGCCTGTGTCATAAGCTACTGCCTAAAAGGCAGCATTTTCCTTGCAGATGTTAAGATGTTTACAAACCTGGAAAGAAGAGCAAATACATAATGATCTCATACTGTTTCTGACCATATACATTTGTATTTATTTATTTTTTTAATGTTTATTTAATTTTGAGGGGTGGTGCTCGTGAGCAAGTGTGAGCAGGGAAGGGCAGAGAGAGGGAGACACAGAATCTGAAGCAGGCTCCAGGCTCTGAGCTGTCAGCACAGAGCCCGGGTGCAGGGCTCGAACCTACAGACTGTGTTGTGAGGTCGTGACCTTGGCCGAAGTCAGATGCTTAACCTACTGAGCCATCCAGGTGACCCAGAATTATTCTCTTTATTGTTATTACTGTCAAAGAGACAACATTTTGAAGAAAGAAGACTACCCTCTGATGAATCCTAGAAATTAGTCAAAACGCGGCGGGGGGGGGGGTGCGGCACAAGGCGAGTGCTATTATTATTTCAATTATTACTATTACTGCCTACAATTCATAACTGACTGAGCCACCCAGCCCCCCCTTCACCCCTTACATTTTAAAATTCAAGAGTAATTCCTTAATAAGATTGGAAAGCATCTGCCTTAAAACAACAGCGTCGATATCCAGCATTACAGTGAAGTAAACCATGCATCCACTACAATTAGCAACTGAACAAAGGCTGGAATAAAAAACATTCACAAGAATGAGGCAAAAGTATCATAGGCTGATGAAATAATGGCATAAGCAAAGGCTGAGAAACTGTAAGGAAAAGATTCTGTAGAACCACAACTGAATCAAAACTATTCTTATATACTAGCAATAACCAGCTGAAAATATGGTGGGAGGGAAAAGTATGTTCACGATAGAATAAAAAAATAACAGGTGGCTCAGTCGGTTAAGCGTCTGACTTCGGCTCAGGTCATGATCTCACAGTTCGTGGGTTTGAGCCCAATGTCAGGCTCTGTGCTGACAGCTCAGAGCCTGGAGCCTGCTTCGGATTCTGTGTCTCCCTCTCTCTCTGACCCTCCCCTGCTCATGCTGTCTCTCTCTCTCTCTCAGAAATAAAACATTAAAAAAATTAAAAAATAAAATAATAAAACACTTAAAAATAGTTTTAATGAAAACTCTGGGACCCAGATGAAACTCCAAAAACACTTGCTAGAAAATACAGACAACTTGACTGATAGGTGGAGTATATTCTGGATAAGCAGGCTGAAATAATATAGCTCAAGTTCACTGCTGTTTTGGAGGAATTTGAAAAAAAGTAATTCTAAGTTCACCTGATGAAATAAACAAGTGCCTGCCTATTACAGAAAATTCTAAAAATTAAGGGCAATGTAGGAGACCTAACTCTCCCAGATTTTATACGTTATAATAAAGCATAATATAATGCTTCAACTATTAAAATAGTACAACACCACAGTAACAAGAAACAGAATAGTACCTGGAAAAGAAAAATGGTCTGGAAATAAACTCTATAACATATAGGAATTTAAAACATGAAAAGGCAGTCACATATCAGTAAGAGAAAGAAGTACTAACTTAGGATAGCATCAATGTACATCCCAACTTCAAATAAATTATAACCCAAAATATATACCAGATGGGTTATCAGCTTAAATATAACAAATCAAAACCCTTTACCCAACCCCCAAATATGTGTGTGTTTGTGCATGTGCGTGTGTGTGTGTGTGTGTGTGTCAGAGCCTTGAAAGAGAGGATGACCATTCTAGGCTTAGGAGAAAAAAAAAATTATGAAAGAAAAAAATTAGAATTTGAGTATAAAACCAAGTGATCGCTTCAATAGAATAAAATAAAATAAAAAACGTAATAACCCAAAACCTTTACCGTGACAGTTTAACTTATAAAGATATATTTTAATTAACTTTGAAAAGATCCTTCAAAAAGAAATGTAAAGTTCTAAAGTATTAGCTTTCAAAAAAAAAAAGCAGACCTAAAATAAATTCTAGACTTCCTATTAAAAAAATAAATAAAAATAAATAAATAAAAGTTTACCAGAGGGTAAGTAAATAAAAGGAAAATGTTTGCTCTAAGGAATCATTAGCTAAGAGCGAATTAAAATAACAGGTAATGGTTTTGTTTCCCCTATTAAATGGACCTGGTGAGATTTTAGATCCCAGATGGGATTTTAAACACTACTATTCTTCTAGGACAATGGGGTGCTATGAGGAGCCATTTTAAATTCCGGTACTTCTCAGGAACTCCATTTCTGGGCATGTAGCCCAAAGAAACAAACCAAAATACGGAGAAACATATGTGCAGAAATGTTCTTTGCAGCAGGTTTTTTTTTTTTTAATGGTGCCTTTTTTTTTTTAATAGAAAAAAACTAGCCTGAGGGAATGTAAAAAGTTAACAGAAAGATAAGAGTTTGGTGAATTATGGCACATCCATGTACTCTGTGAAATATTATGAAGGCACTAGTATGATGTTTTTGAAAATGATACAGCAGTAAGAAAAATACTTCGGAAATGCAGAAACGTTGAGCAGAAAAAAGCACGGAACTGAAAATGGTAATACTCCGTAATTATAGCTACACTTTTTAAAAGCACATATACCTGAACTATGTTTTAAAAATTATGTTTTTCAAAATGAACGAGGTGGGGGTGGGGAGGAGGCAAACAGCAAGCAATGGTGGCAGCTCCCGTGGAACCCAGGCTGGGCAGGAAGGCAGAAGACACAGCTGGGGACAGGGAAGGACTTACACAAGGTAGAAGTGGAAGAGCGGCAGCTTGTTGGGGGAGGGGCGGTGACTACTTCCAGGGGCCAAGGCTAGTGGGTGGGGGGACCTTTGTTGGGGGGTACTTCCGGGGGCCAAAGCTAGTGGGTGGGGGGAGCCTTGTTGGGAGGGGGAAGTACTTCCGGGGGCCAAGGCTAGTGAGTGGAGGAGCCTTG